GCCGGGCGGGCAAGAGCTGAGGGACAGGGAGCAAACTTTGCTGCAGCAGCAAAGCCATCTCCCCAGGTGTGGAGCTGGCAGCTGGCTCCGCTCTCCTCCCAGGGTAGAGGCTTCACTGCAGCAGGAGCTGGGCAGGCAGGGGTGGCTTTGCTGTGGACTCTGCAGTATAAAGCTAAGATTTTCAGCAGTTAAACAGTTACCCTGTTACTATAAAAAACCTCAGATTTTAATGTGAATTTACATACTGTATGTTACAAATGGCATTTACATTACTTTTTCGGTTGTAACAGGTTGGAACACAAAGATCCCCTTGAGACGGTCAGCTGATGGTCTGATCACAGCACTATAATTCTGCCTATCTCCCTCTTCTGATGATCTAGAAGTTCTGGGCTCCCCCAGCAAAGGCACAGAATTGGGATAACAGACTCCCAGCAGAGTAATACAGACACTGATAACAGCTCAGCTCTCAGAGGGTTCAGTTACAAGAACTTGTCAGTATCCAGGAGCAGAGCCCCATGTGGAATAAAACCTCAAAGTAACTCCATCTTACCCTGTATAAAAGTTTTACACAAAAAAGGCACATAAAGTTTGCCCCCTTCGTCAATAAAAGAGAGCTATGCACAGCTTTTATATGGAGATAAACCTCTCTCAGAGCTGGAAAGGACCTTGAGAGGTCATTAAGTCCAGTCCCCTGCCCTGATAGCAGGACCAAGTACCACCCCAATAGATTTGCCCCAAATGACCCCCCTCAAGGATTAAACTCACTACCCTGGATATAGCAGGCCAATGCACAAGCCACTGAGCTATACCTCCCCAGGTAATTATTTACACTGGGTTTGATAACAAAAGTGATTTTTTTAAGTATACAAAGGGGTTGCAAGTGATGCACAGATCAAAGTAAATTAGAGTAACATAAAACTTGCCAGATGAGACTAATACACTAAGATAAGCTATTACAAATCATAATTTCTCTTCCTACTCCTTATTTCAGGTAAAATTCCTCAAGCCACAGCTGATCTTTTTCCTGATCTCTTTAGATTTCTTTTCTTTTCACATCCTTTCATATGTTCTCTTGAGGTGGGGAGCAGACTGTGAAGCCAGCTGAAGATAATCATTGTTTGCTTCCCATCCTTCAAATAGAATTTCCCCAGGGAACTGTTTGATCAATTCTTCTCCTGTTCCCCCTCGTCTCCTCCCCGTGGAAAAAGTACAAAATGCAAGATGGATTCCAGCACCAGATGGCATGGTCACCTGTCTTTGTAGGACCAACCACAATCCAGGCTTACAGGAAAAAAAGCCTATTCACAGATCATTGTTTTGAGCACCAGGCCATTAAGTTCCTTAAGTACCACTTTTGGCTTTCACTAAAAGATCTAGATTAAAACACAGGTTTACAGTTTATACTTCTAACAACACATACAAGAAAGATACATGCACACAAATGGAATATACACATTAAGGGGATTACAAGAACTTGAACGATAGGTTACTTACCTGATTTTGCATAAAGTATATTCAAGTTATGTATATTCACATTCAAAACACTTTTCCTAAAAATACAGGGCCCCAGTGTCACACTAATACAAACTAGATTTTGGGGGAAGGGCCTTCCCTAACTCTGATTGCACAGTGACTAGTGTAATAGAGACCCAGTCCTGGTTGGGGCACCATTGTAAAGAAAAGGAAGACCGGTCAAGTGGCTAGGGCATTAGTCTGAGATCTGGATTCACTTTCTATACTCTACAGACTTCCTGCATAGCTATGGACAACTCACTTAGGATGCATCTACACAGCAGGGCTTAACTCAATAAGCTATGCAAATTGAGCTACATCAATTGTGTAGCTTATTTCAAAATAGCTTATTTCAAAATTGGGAGTGTCTACACAGCACTTATTTCTAAATAGAGCACTCTTCCTTTGACTTCCCTTACTCCTGTTACAAAGAAGGTTACAGGAATCTGAGTAAGAAGTCCTCCAGCTTGACAGTATGGCTATGTCTAGACTACGCAAAAGATTCAAAAGAGGATATGCAAATTCCCATGGAATTTGCATATCTTCTTCCAATCTCACTTTTGAAAGCGGAGCTCCGCTTTCAAAAGTGAAAGTAGTCGGGACACAGCTTTTTTGGCAGACCCCTCCCTTTTTCGGAAAGCCGCTTTTCCTCAAAAAAATTAGGTTTAAGCGGCTTTTCGAAAAAGGGGGGGTTGCCGAGAAAGCTGCGTCCCAACTACTTTCGAAAGTGAGATCAGAAGAAAATATGCAAATTCCCACAGAATTTGCATATCCTTTCGAATCTTCCGCATAGTCTAGACGAGCCCTATTTCGACATTATTTCAAAATAACTGCCTGCTGTGTAGATGCGGACTACGTTATTTTGAAATAATGCTAGTTATAGCAAAATAATGTTGCTATGTAGACGTACCCTTAGGGAACTGAGGTATAGAGAGGCTCTGTATAATGGGGATAAGTGTCCAGCCTCACAGAGTGTTATGAGGATAAAAGCACTGAAGATTGTAAGGTGCTCGGATACTATGGTAATGAGAATCAAAAGCATCTAAGCTGATAATATAGACATTTAGTAGTAGTTTACAAAATGTTATTTACTTTGTATCCAGATCTGTATAGAAAGAAGAGAATGAGAACAACCATTTCTGCCTTGGGTCCTTGCATAAGGGACTGACTGGATAAAATCTGGTCTTTGAACTTAATGAATTTAAGAGCCATCAGGTTCCCCTCCTTCATTGGCTAACTCAATTGACCCTGAGTAGGGCTGCAGAGGAAGTGCACCCTGTATCTTTGCAGAGTTGTGGAAGAGTCATATTTCCCAGACCTCCAGGAAGCTTTGAGTCTGAGCAAAGTAGGATGTCCCCAGAAGTTTGTCATGCAGCAATCTGCCTCCACTCTGCTGTTTTAAGTAAATGTTTATTTCTAGGCTCCAACCACTGGAAATGAGTCACTGTTAAAAGTGAATAAGTCCATTTAAGTATATCTGAATACTGGTAACATCACAGCAGAATTTTCAGAAACTTTCATGATCCTTTGCTGACTTTGAGCACTTAGCAGCTGATGACCAGCAAGGAGATGGATGGATGATTTGCAGAAGATTACTGGACATTCTCTACTACAATGACTCTTTCCTTTGATGATAAACTTTCACAAGATTATTTCCATCTCTACACATAATGTGACCAAAGTATGTAAGTTTGCATCTGTTGATGTCCAACGTCAGTGTCTGCTTCTCTCCAACAATAATTCAAACATTAGCATTCATGTATTTTTCTGTCCAGGAGAGAAGCATGGAGTCTTCACCACTGCCACATTTCAAAAGCTTCAATTTTCTTCTTATCAGAAGAATTAACTTCCCATGATTCAAATCCATAAATCACTATAGAAAAAAAATAAGATTTTCACTGATTGCACCTTCATACATTTCAAGATGCCACATGTCACCCCCTCTCCCGACTTTGTAAAGGAGACCATAGCTGAGTGAGTCATCTCTATTTCTTCTGCTGCTTTCTTTGGAACAGCCTCCTTGATTGGATATACATGATCCAGATAATTAAATTCATCTACTGCCTCTACAGCTTGTCCATTAATCATGATGTCTGCATGCATCGTATGTTTGTTAGTTGTATCAATGTACATCCATTTTGCTTTGTTGCATTCAGAAATAGTCTATATTCTTCACTGTTTCCAAAAGGCTACAATATTTCTTGCATTGCATGAGTGATGGTAGAAAAAAAGAGTCTTGTTTCATTTCATTAGCATATATAAGGTCAGTAAAGAGGCATCACAATGGAATTCCCAACTCCTCCTATTTTTTTCAAAACCTTCTAAGGCTTGTGAATATATTAAAGAGTCATGGTTTCAAAAAGTTAATAGCAATGTTACAGAATGGGCAGAATAAAGGCGGGGGGGGGGGGGGGGAGGTTGTGCCTTGAAAATACCAACTGGCTCACTGAAAGCAGTGATTCATATTTGCTGAATAAATCACATACCTTTAAAGTAAAAGTGTCAGGTTAAAGATCACTGTACATATCAAATCACCTTAAATTGTTAATTTGACCACATGTGAGACTTATACGAAGTTTACTTACTGGTGCCGCTTACTTACATTTTGCACTTCACTCGGGGTGGACAATAGTAACGCACTTGTCAGTTTCACATTTCTGTAGAGTGGGGCTAGGTTTATGCTGTATACCCTGTTTCAATAGAGCCTCACAGTACAAATGCAGTTTACCCTGACTCCTTAAAAATGAGTTTTAAGGATTATTTCAAAGGAAGGGTTTCTTTTCGAAATAGCGTATTTCAAGAAAAAAAAATGGGGTTATTTTGGAAAAGCGGCCAGCCACCATTATGCAAATGAAGTGTGGGAAATTCAAATCTGCGCTTCATTTGCAATTTCGTTTGTCTGCATTTGCATTCCTCTCTCGAAGGAGGAATGCAATGTAGATATACCCTGAGTGAGGGAGCTTTGCTGCTAGCGTAAAAACAACACCTCCTTGAATCTTCTGTCAACTAAGGTGCATCTGTGCTGGAGGTTTTGCTGGTGTAGCTGTGTTGCTAGGGGCTGAGGATTTTTCACACTCTGGACCAACAGAGCTATGCTGGTGTAAGTTTTAAGTGTAGATCAAGTCTATATTTCATTGTTAGGTTCTCATGCACAATCACAGAGCAGCAATGCTTGGATTGTAAACACTGCTGTAGAATGCATACAAAGATCGCTGGAATTTTAAAGAGAAGGCTAATGAAGGCATTCCTATTAAAGCTTTAAAAAATTCTATAATTTAGGCCTAAAAGTAGTCAGCCACTGTCCTTTTCAACTGTAGGGAGATACCTGTGCAAACTACACAATCACTTAACATTTCTGAGAGTATATGTAGAAATGCAAATTCTGTTACGAACCCACAAAAAAACCCCAGGAAACACTATGGGTTCAAGCAATTGGTCCCCAAGCTATTGAATCAAGTTATAATAATCACCACCCTCTGTTCCCTCAGGACAGAAATGGAAACATACCCATTTGCCTGCTGGGTTTCAAGAGGGCACAGAAACAGTTAAATTGCCTTCAGCAAGACGTAAGTTATTTCACACACGTACACATACACACAGAGCATCATCCCCGTTGTGTATGGAAGTTACAGTGTGAGCTGCAAAGGGCTAAGATCAGTTCATGAGTACTCCAGTGTGTCCTTCATGCCATAAAGATCTTGCAAGATAAGGACCTGTTAAAGCAACAAGGCAGCTTGCCAGCCAGGGTCAAAACGGAATGTAAGTCAGAGTGGGTTGATTTTTCTTTTTTTACCAGATGCCTTTGCTTATTTCTGAAAGACACTGTCAGCTCAACCTCCTCTCATCACACAGTTTGTCTGTAGGTTTGATCAACATTTGTTGCTAGGGCTGATGGTATCTTCAAACATGTCCACAGACATGCAATGTCTACACTACAGACCTTACAGAGACACAGCTGTCTGCACTGTTGTTTTGATTCTG